AAAAAGTTTTCTTGATGAGAATAAATGATAATATGAATACAGAAAATCTAATACGCTGATTCATGTGTTTCTTTCAACACAGGAAAATGCGTTCTGTCAACATCAATTGTCTAGTTCTAGGAATGCCATTCAGAAATATAATCTCTATCAAAATTAAAGAAAACGAAACGATTGGCGAACTCAAAAGACGTATTAAAGCTGAAAAAGATTACTTCGAAACTGCTGGCGCAAGCGACCTCAGATTATGGCGTACAAATACCCGTATAGGAAGCAGTAATGCAATTCCTTCTTTTGATCTTTCCGATAGCAACGAAATATTGTCATATTTTCAAATCAAAGATATTTGGAAAGAAGATCCTCCCAAATCTAATCTCCACGTAGTTGTTAAAATCGAAGGTTAGTGCTTTCTTTTTGTTTACATTGGTCTCTTTGCTGTAAAAGTAACAAAAATGTTTGTAACTAGTTATTATTCTCAACCGCATAATTTCTGATACTTACAGTACTTGATTGAAATTTCTGTGGAGCGTTGGCGAACTTAAGTCTATGATCAAAAAACGATAGAAACATCTCTTTAGCAATATTATCTCTAACAAGATGGTTATAAACGTTCCTCCCAATCAGGTTATTACATGTGAAGAGGAGAGATGTCATGAAAAACAAAATATCGTTCGATATACAACTTGGAACATCTTCCTGTTATGATAAGTTCGGACACTGGAAGGAAGTACATTGTAAAACCATTTATAAAAAAGCTATATATGATAAGCACGAGAAACAATTTCAACGGAAGATCACCTACGCTATGGTAACATTAGTCAAATGGAAGGGAAAGTTCGCAAATATTTCGCAAGAGTTTAAGAACAATCTATTGATCTCTATAGGACACATGATGAAAACATTTGAGGATAATTAATTTAAAAATAACAAGTTATCTGATGGACCGTTTGTTGTTTAGTCTAGAATAAATATATCCGGAGATTTATTTTATTTCTAAAAGAGTAGTAAAATATATCCAGAGATCAAAATCAAAAAATTGTAAATTTTATTCACAGAATTTTATCACGTGATTTTTTGAAATTGTGAATTTTATTCACAATTTTTATCGCAGATGGTAGAGTATATCACATGGAGAGTTATAGAATCGATATTGTTCAATACGGTTAGACAACCACATCAAAATGCTAGATTGTGCAAACAATTCATATCTTTGTATTTATCACCAATAAATTAGCATCTTTATTTACGTATGAGAAAAAACAAGCAATGACATTCTTACAGTGTAGAATGATAATCATTTTCGGATTAAATATAAGGTACGACTTATCACCTCAGAATATTGTTTTTTTCATTATTTGGGATTTATCTAATAAGGGTTAACGTTTTTGCATAGAAGTATGATTATGTAGATTACACTGCAATAAATTCCGTGTTATGTACCCTATCTCATTAAGAGAACACAAGAGACACTTTACCTCGTAGGCTTCACCTAAAATATTATCTATTAGTGTACGCTCAGTGGACAAGGTGAACAATTAATTTTCGACATATATTAACAACAGATGAAAAAATCCTTTATATAAGGAACAACAGACTTAATTCACCCGAGTCCTGCTAAAATCATGTATGTATGCCACATGTGTACCTATAAGATCATTTATTATCGTAACAAAAACTCATTGCATGCATTGCTTGCAAAAAATATAACTACACCTATCAAGAGAGATTAATCCTGTTAGAAAAAATAGCACACTTGTATTTAGAAGACATGGGCTCTTTAATCAGATAAATTTGGGAGAATTCTCTTTTTCTGTCGTAAATAGTCTTTTACGTGAAAAGACAAATAAGACAAGTTATCAGGTATACAAGCCGAGTAGTTATTCTTATTCCAGCGTAAATATTTTATATAGAGTATGTATAGAAAATTGTTTTACAGTAACATATAATTATGTATCGCATTAGGTAATTGTTTATATTAACTTTTCGTTGGTATATAGTCCAAGTAGAATAATGGAGACAAGTGAATGGAGAAATTAACTAACAAGCCAACTGTGACCTTGGGTCACGGTCTCGTAGTTGTGATCAAGTGATAAACATTTAGCATTAGCGTAACTCACTCAATAATTAACCTTTTGTACGAACCTAAATATAATATCATACAAAAACAAATTCAGATAGTTCTGTGATAAAGAGTAATGTAAATCGTTTATTAAGTTAATCATGTGTGTCCTTTGAGTAGCCTCTGACTGGTGCAAAGCATCGTGAAGTACATTTCTTTTTATGATGGTACTGTGTGATTTTCGGGATGGGATAATATATACGATACAGAGTAACTTAAACTATCCTTTTGGAATTCTAAATATTCGACACATGGTTGACAATTTTCCTTCTAACTATTTATTCCAGTTTTGTATCTCTTATAAAATGCGATTCAGAGTTATGTAATAATTTTTTTACCTGTAATTCACGAATGCTTTATTTATCATTAAAAAATAAACTTGGTTCTATTAAGAATACAAAATACCGTAATCAAACCGAAATATACCCAATTTGGTCAGTTTCTATTCTCCCGTTTCGATTACTAAATATTCTGTGGCTGAAGCCTCTTTGCATACTCTTTTCCTCTTAAAGTTGTGATTCGTATATGATTATTGGGAAAATTGTCAAGAGAATATGTTACTACATGGACCTGAATCTTACCTGAGAAGGATGTAGCAGAATACGAAGATATTAGAAAAGATAAGGTATTCACTCCAAGTAACAAAACCTCTCTCATAGTAATCCTGTTGTGAGAAGCAGGATTGGGAATTCGTACACAAAAGTAACCAGAATACGATTGGAAAAAACTTCTTGGGTTATTTTACATATTCAGAGTCACATCCCTGGTGGTAAGTATTCTTCATCAAATTACAATGTCCCAATAGGCCACCATTTTGTGGTTTTTATCTCTCTTACTCTTTATCACATAATATTCTTTCTGCAGAATGACCATATCGAGTCTATATGTAAAGGGAACGTAACGACTCGTGATGGTCGGCAAACAACTTGTGATCACTTATTTTGCTTCAAAGCTTATCGTTCAAGAGCTTTTGGTGGACAATTATCATATTGTTGTGACGAGAACCTATCAAAGAATTGCTGTTGTGAATTGTCAATTAACAGACGAATCTATTGTCTATCTTGCACAACGATGCGACAAGCTTGAAAGTTACAATTTCTCAATCGTAGGGATAATGGGATAATGATCCAGATAACAGACAGAACATTATTTGCCTTTGCAAGACATACCCTTCAATTGAAACACTGATGTTTAACTGTGAAAAACTGCGCAAGTTGAATATGTGGAAGTGTACACGTGTGATAATATGAAAAGAAAAACGTTAAAAATAATTAATCCTAAATGCGTAATTTGTTTTTAGTCAAACATATTTACTTGAACCCTTGGGTTACTGTAGTTTTGTATGTGGATGAATTCTTCAACACCAATAAAAAAATTTTGTTTTAACAAACTATCATGTTTTTTTGCCATCATACCTCATAAATATAAAACATACGAGACTTTATTATAGTAAAATCAAGTTTTTATAGACATAATGCAAAATATTATCTCACATATTGTTATTTATCCTCCATATGATACATTACAACACAGAAATAGGAATGGCGCCAGTTTATCGGTAACAGTAATCAAGCACACATGCCCTATATAGTTCCTGAAAGAACTTCATGGTCTCCACATACTGTGTATCAATATTCACTAGTGATGTTAAATAAAATATCCATATTTTTGATAACATCACCTCTTCGAGGGGTGCTTCGCACCAGGCATATCTGAGGAAACAGTTTAGCAATAATTTTTATGTAATCATTCGATACTGCTGGGGTACCCATAAGGGTATAGATGGTACCTGTTACTGCACATACTAACTGGGTGAGTTCTTGTCCTGATGGTCACTCTACGATACCATTAGGAGTGCTCGTTGAGTGCTAGATAGTTCTCATAGATGGTGATAGTCATGGGTGCAATGTCTTTGTGGTAGTTTACTTTCTGTTAGGTTTAGGTCAACCATGATGTTCATGATCCGATTGGTGTATAAGGTTCAGAGGTTGGGTTCGATTCCCTTGGTGAATTTGACGTGTTGGTGGTGATTCTTGAGGTAAGTTAACCCTTTAGTAAAATGATCCTGCACCCTCTACTGTCTTCCTGTCCTAGTAGTCACTACTCACTCGCATGATGGTACGGTCATTTAATGCAGATTCACTTGCCATACTACTGGAGGATAATACAACTGTAGTCCTGGTATGTAAGAATCGTGAGGCTGTAGTGGTCTTGAGTAAACCTGCTTACCTAATATAGGGTTATGGAAGGGTATTTAAATGGTCGTCTGTTGCATCATAAATTTCTCGAATGTAGGTGGTCTTCACAGCTGGGTGGAGTTTCAAAATATAGAAGCCTAGTTTAACTTTGTGGGGCTACTGAAAGAAAAGAATTCTTAGTGCTTGGGGTTGGTTTAAAAGTACCTTCTTTGGGTCGTTATAGTTTGGTATGCGGCTCTGTCCCCCTAGGGGGTTTACTACTTAGTCGTATGATGGCTATAACATCTAATGAACTAGGAAAAAAAAAAAAAAAACCTCTCAGAATTTCCTTTTTAGTTTCAGCAGGCAACCTTAGATATAATTTGACTTATGGTTGTAATTATATAACATAATACTAAGATTGCTGGAGAAACTAAAGGGTTTTAGCAAGTTGGCGAAATGCCAAAATAGCAAAACTTTATCAAAACTATATGAAAGTCTTATTAAAAAGTTAGCGAAATTCTGGAGAAAAGTGAAACCTAACAAAACTTATTATAAATACTGAAACTGCCAAAACCTTGCCAAAACTATAATAAAACTATAGTAAAATCTTGGAGAAACTAATCGTAGAATTTTGGAGAGGTTTAAACAAGCAACCTTACATAATACTACAATTAATTTTTTAGCCTTTAATTTATTATGAGTTGATCGATTTCTTGAAATAATTGTATTTACCATTAAAAAAAAGAATTTTCTAAGTTCAGAATTTGCTTCTTCAATCATATGATAAAATTGTATTGGATTCAATTTCAAATTAGAAGACTCCCGACATTGCTTATTATACAACACACTTATTAGAATTTTTACATTTGATGCAAATATTAAATCAATTATTAAAGCTAAATAAATAAATTATTATAAAAATTAAATTATTTTTACATTATTTTTAGTTTAATACCAAATATATTACCTCCTTTCCCTAGTTTTTTCAATATGTTTAACTTTTTTCCTACTACATTATATACTACATTCCTGATTTTTTGTTCTTTTTCGCTTATATTGTCCACAGTTAGATTTCACCATACTACAATAATGTGAATGACAAAGTTGCTTTTTTACTTTAAGATACGGATATATTTCTAGTAAAATTGCCATCCAAATTATTTTCTAATTCTGAAATAATTTTGGCCAGAATTTTATTTTTGAAACTAATTCCAAAATCCCAAAATTCTTTTGAAATTCTGAAATTTTTCTGAAATTCCCAAAATTGTCCAAAACTTCTGATTGGCCTATTATAAAATCATATGACTTTATAAATTTGCTAAAATTTTATCTGTATTTTAATTCTATAATTCTGGCTCTGTAACGATCTTTCTAATATATGTAACTTCATTTTAAGCTTATTTTCACTTTGTATAATGTATATAATATATAAGAAAATTATGCATCTTTATATACAAAGTAAACATAAGCTTAAAATGAAGTTACACATAATGGTGCCGCCTGAAACTAGGAAGTTTCGGTTACCTGACGAAACCAAAATGTTAAAACTAGTTTCGGAAAATTGGTCAATCCCGAAACTGCTGAAATTATCCTAAATTACCGATATTACCCGAAATTATTAAAACTGTTTTATAATTAAATAATTAATAATTTACTGACTTTATGATTTTTACAGAATAAAGCTTTATTTTATTTGAAATTTATCATGATAAATTACATTTATCAATTTATTCATCATTTTCCAAAATTGCTAAATCAACATATTCTTCGATTAATATATATACATTATGCTTTGGAATTTCAACTTCTTCAAAATATTCTTCATAACCACCTTCACCTTCATGATCATCATTATCATTTTCAATTTCAAAAAATGCTGATTCATCAATTAATTTTTGAATATCATCATTATTTTGTCTTGAATTAGATTCAGCTAAATGCATATTATTTTGATAAAAGTGTCAAACTTTGGCTATTGACTCAATCGTATTAGTATCCAAAGTCGTCCTTTTTTTTCCGTATAACTATCTGAATACGGAAAACATTCTTTCGCATGAAGCGCTATGCGGTATCACTGCAAATACTTTTAACGCCAGATCTCTCAAAAAAGGAGGTTGATCTTCACATGACATCCACCATATACAAGGTGTAACCCGATTTTTAACAAATGCCGTTGAATAAGTACCTTGTTTGGCTTTAAAATTCAGCATTTAAGTAATTAATATTTCTTGGTCGTCAATATTATATCCCATATTTTCCCATAACTTTTGCGCATACTCTGAAATTTTCGTCCACGTCATGGAAAAATCCACGAGAGGTAATTATTTTTACTATATTTACTTTAACAACATCCTTATGATCATCTGCGACCTATTAATTTGTTTTAAAATATTTTAATTCTTTTTGCAAATTAATGAAAGATAAATTAATATTCTTAATTACCTTTTCTAATGCCAGTTTTAGATGTAAAACAGAATCTGCAGCATCAAACATTGTCGNACCTTGTTTGGCTTTAAAATTCAGCATTTAAGTAATTAATATTTCTTGGTCGTCAATATTATATCCCATATTTTCCCATAACTTTTGCGCATACTTTTAATACCACGTTAACGTCATGGAAAAATCCACGAGAGGTAATTATTTTTACTATATTTACTTTAACAACATCCTTATGATCATCTGCGACCTATTAATTTGTTTTAAAATATTTTAATTCTTTTTGCAAATTAATGAAAGATAAATTAATATTCTTAATTACCTTTTCTAATGCCAGTTTTAGATGTAAAACAGAATCTGCAGCATCAAACATTGTCGTCCATCACGTTTCAACCCAAGTTTTAAGTCCTCCGCCTTCAATATTAAAATTTTTAGCGTACTTTACCAATAAAGCCTTTCCTTGGTGAGATTTGTTAAAAAATTTTACTATTTTGTTACATGATTTTAAAACTTTTTTCAGAAAATTGTGTTCTATTTTTTTTTAAATGATATAATTAATATTTAATTATTAATAACAAGAATATTTAGCAAATTAATAAAATAGTTCAAAAAAATTGACAAGAACTTACCAAGTACATCTTTAGTGATTAAATTCACACAATGTGCAATGCAACGAGTGTTAACAATAAATGGGTATTTTTCACTTATAATACTTCGAGCAAGAGCACAATTTGCAGCGTTGTCCGTTATAACTGCTGCAAATTTATCGGGTCCAATTTTTTGAAGTACATCTTCGATTTCACTTGCTAAATTTTGGGCCGTATGTTTTATGATTGAAAAATCTTGAAGTCGATATAAGAATTTGCGCCGATCATGAGTCATTATTATGAAATTATAAATTGAGTGACCTGATGGGTTCGTCCATCCGTCTAAGCCTAAAATTAAAAAGTAAAGAATGGTAAGTTTTTATAAATATGATGTTGTATGAAATTTTTTAAAAAAATTAATTACCTAATGTTAAATTCATTGCCTTTCCAAGAATAGAGTTTACTTGATCTTCAATTCTTACTACTGCATGAGAAAACATGATTCCTGCCAATTTTTCACGAGAAGGTAACTTGTAACCGGGTTGAAGTTTTCTAATCAAATCTACAAAAAATGGATTTTCAACAACTGCGAAAGGAGTACTGCAGCATACAAATGCTTTAAGTAAACATTGGTCAATTGCTTCCTGTTTCTGCTTTGATAATGGTTCAACACTATTTTGATCAACATCCCAAAAATCAGTAATGTTTAATTGTTCAATTCGAAAGCGTTTATTATCTTCTGTGTCATCATCATTATATAATTGCAGGATTTTTTGAATATACTCTCTCCTTGTTTTCTCATCAACGTTAAGACAATCTTTGGCGAGATAAACCTGAAGTTCTTGTGGTCGTCCGCGTGTCCACTTTTTTTCACAATAAAGGCATTCAGCTGTAAAGTGGCCAGCAGTTAATAAGGGAGTTTTGATAAAATGTTCCCACACTGAGTCTTGTGGACGTCTAACTTTACTTTTAAAGTTTGTTCGGGTTCTATTTGTCTAGTTTTTTTATTGGTTTTGTTAAGTGGCATACTTATCGGTTGTAAAGGAAAAAAAAAATTTAAAATCGAAATAAAAAAAAAGTTCACTAAAAATCTAATCTGATGACTAATCATCTAGACATCTACCTAATATGGGCATAATTAATTTTTTACGTAATTTATTATAAAAAAAAGTATTTTTAAACAAAAATAGTGATAAATAAAATGATTGGAGATTTTGTCATATTTCGGGAATTTCGAGTAGATTTCGGAATTTCAGAAAGAATTTCAGGAATGAACCAAAAACCCGAAACATTTCAGAATCTGAAAATAATTTCGGGCGGCACCATTAACTTACACATATCAGAAAAATCATTACGAAGCCAGAATTATGGAATTAGAATACAGATAAAGTTTTAGCAAATTTATAAAGTCATGTGATTTTATAAACTTTCGGTTAAAAGATTCGTCTAACTTTGGCCGAATTTCAGCTATAATTTGGGCCAAATTTACCTATACGAAATCTGGCTGAATTGGATTATTTCGACTAGTGTTATTAATAGGAGTTTTAAATAATTTTCAGAAAGATTTCAGGATTTCAGAAGAATTTTAGGATTTTGGAATTAGTTTCAGAAATAAAATTCTGGCTGAAATTATTTCAGAATTAGGATCAGATAATTTTGAGAGTTTCAGAAGGATTTCAGGATTTCAGAAGAATTTTGGGATTTCAGAATTAGTTTCAGAAACAAAATTCTAGCCAAAATTATTTCAGAATTAGGAAATAATTTTGGACGACAGCTTTACTAGAAATGTATCCTTATCTTGAAGTAGAAAAGCAACTTTATCATTCATATTATTGTAGTATAGTTAAGGTTGCTTGCCAAAACTTAGGGGTTTAGGCAAGATGGCGTTTTGCCAAAAAGCGAAATTCTGCTGAAACTATATTAAAGTTATATTAAAAAACTGGCGAAACTTTGAAGAAAGGCGAAATTGCCAAAACTTATTATAAATGCCAAAACTGCTGAAACTCTGCCGAAACTATAATAAATCTATAGTAAAATTTTGATAAAACTAATTGTAGGATTTTGAAGAGGTTTAGACAAGCAACCTTAAGTATAGTGAAACTAGGACCCCGAACATTACTAAAAAAACTCAGATCTGAATTGTATAAACCTTATAATTAATTTCTGTTCCAAATGTATAAAGTTATATATAGATTTTAGCTTCAAATTTTGCTATCTCGGGATCCAGTGATTGGATTTTAATGATCTTTAGCTTGTTAGATTCATCTCATCGAGACGAACATTTTGATACATAATTCGTCTTCATAGGTATAATATTGACTGAGATATCGCATTTTGAAATTTTAGTTATATAGGATCTGAGTTGTTTTAGTAATGTTTGGGTTTTATGGAACCTAACTGTGGACAATATAAGTGAAAAAAACAAAAAACTAGGAATGTAATATAGAATGTAGTAGGAAAAGTGTTAAACATATTGAAGAAACTAGAGAAGGAGGTAATATATATGGCATTAAACTAAAAATAATGCAAAAATAATCTAATTTTATAATAATTTATTTATTTAGCCTTAAATCACTTAATAATTGATCTAATATTTGCATCAAATGTAAAAATTCTAATAAGTGTGTTATATAATAAGTAATGTCAGAAGTCTTCTAATTTGAAATTAGATCTAACACAATTTTAGCATATGATTGAGGAAGCAAATCCTGAACTTAAAGAATTCTTTCTTTTAATAGTAAATACAATTATTTCAAGAAATCGATTAGCTCATAATAAATTGAAGGCTAAAAAATTAATTGTAGTATTATGTTATATAATTGCTGGTTTACATAACAAATTTGTCAACCAGTTCAAACTAGAAATCAGGTTATATCTAGCAGCATCAGGAACTACATGGGAAGCTATTGATATAATGTCAAATCTTGGATTTTTAGCATGTGGCAAGACAATTGCAGATTTTCAAAAAAAAATTCAAACCATACACTTAAAATTGAAAATCACTTTTCAGAAAAGGTAAGCTTTGATTTTTAATAAAAAAAGTTTTAGAAATATAATAATTAAATTTTTTTTTTTAATATTAGAGGAATTGCTTACACATTTACAATGTAGATGATTAGTTGATTACTATGCCATTCATGAAAAAAGAAGGCCAAATATAGTATCAATATTAGTGGCAAAACATTTCACTACTTGTCACAAAACCCGTTGTAAAATGTTCTGCAGTACCACTTACATTTGATAGTATATTTATTTACAATCCAAATAATATTGAAGCTCCAAGGATTTGTTGGTATTTACTCAACAATTATACTGGGATATTTGATGTTTTATATACAAATTTTCAAGAACATCAAGGTATTAATACTTTTGATCGTATTGAACTTTTAACAGTTTATATTTATGATAATGCTATTGCAAAATGAAAAGAAGAGAGATCAATGAACAGGTTACAATTAATTGGTCTTAAAAAACAGAATTTGCATTCAATGCAGGATTATTTAAAAGCATTACAAATAATTTTAGCTATAAATAAAAAAACAAAGCATTTAAAAAACCAAGTTGCACCAATTGTTGCAGATTGGCCTGGATAACTGTTTATTAGAAAAGCATTAACACATTTGCATATATTAGGATTACAATTTGCTATTCTACAAGAAATTAAATCATTTATATCAATGTTAGGACCACTTCATCTTTCTCTTAATAGTAGAGAACATGTTATGATAATTTATTATTTTTTTTTGAACAAATGTTTCATTTGTATTTGGTGAACATAAAAAATTAGCCAAAAAACCTAAACCATGGCAAATTAACCTTCTCCTAGAACTTACACGAAGTGATTGGCTTAGAATTAAAAATAAAATTATGCAAAAATTTGATTCAACATGCAAGGATGTTGAATATCGAATAGCAATTGATTTATTGGATAATTTAATTCCCCCTATACTTGATGTTTATGCAATTTTATTTAGATCTGGTTCATTTGAAAAATATGTTGAAACTGTATTTCACATCTGGTCATCTGGACCTTTGCATTATGATGGAAAAGAAAAAATTACAATAAAGCTCCTCTTGTATTCTTATCAGATCTATTCTATTGGCAAGATACCCATCATCCATTTGCTGATGCGATTGAAAAATACCTATCATGTTTTAATGATTATTATGTTGAAAACGCTCATAGTTGAATAAGAGCAAATACATCATCAAATGCAACTGTCAAAAACATTAAAAAACAGACCTATGTTATTGGTAAATACCAATATGTAATAATTGTAAAATTCAAAATTAACATATTTTGTTTTAATAATAAATAGCGGATCACGATCCAATATTTAAAGATACATATTGTAAAACTCGTCATTATCCATACAGCTCATCTAAACTCAATTTTCTATCAGATAAAACAAGTCTTTTTCTGTTAAAATACTTTCATAATATATTTTGCAATCAAAACAATAGTATTCCAGTATACAGCAATGGATGCGCCATTTACCAACAGCATACAGCACATCACATCCACCACAACTAGGATTATGTGACTATTGTAAACTTCAAATGAATGATGATAGTGTAGTACTTGTTTGTGGCCATGGATATCATTCAGCTTGCTATGTGTTTATTGTGAAAATTTTTATAAAAACGGTATCTATGAAAATGTAAATGCATTTTTAAAAAGAATTGAAAAAGGAACAGATATGCTTACACAGGATGATCTAGATGATGAAATTATCGAAGACGAGGAAGAAGGGACGGAGGAGACAGAATGTGAACAGACAGATATATCTGTCGCATTAGCACTAGCAATTAACAATATAAATTACTGGTAATAATGAATAATGTAAAATAAATTAGAAATGTAATAAAATTTTTCCCTCATTAAATAACAATAACAATAACAATAATAAAGATATTGCTCTTTTTTAAATTAACCTTTATACATACAGTTACGACAGTCACATAACCAGTTACATATATATTAACATTATTATATAAATTATATATAATACAATAGGCTAAAATTCGTGTCTAAGGTAGGGATGTTAACGGTTCGGTCCATCCGGTTTTCGGTCCAAAAACTGGTGGTTTGAGTACAAAACCGAACCGTTATAGGTTTAGAACCAGAGTTTGAACCGAAGTTTGGACTGAAGTTTAGACCGAAGTTTAGACCGGATATTTATAGTATTTTATACAAAATTGTGTAATGCAGATCATGAATTTTCTCTTATACACATCTAGATGTGTATAAGAGACAGATATATGGCATTAAACTAAAAATAATGCAAAAATAATCTAATTTTATAATAATTTATTTATTTAGCCTTAAATCACTTAATAATTGATCTAATATTTGCATCAAATGTAAAAATTCTAATAAGTGTGTTATATAATAAGTAATGTCAGAAGTCTTCTAATTTGAAATTAGATCTAACACAATTTTAGCATATGATTGAGGAAGCAAATCCTGAACTTAAAGAATTCTTTCTTTTAATAGTAAATACAATTATTTCAAGAAATCGATTAGCTCATAATAAATTGAAGGCTAAAAAATTAATTGTAGTATTATGTTATATAATTGCTGGTTTACATAACAAATTTGTCAACCAGTTCAAACTAGAAATCAGGTTATATCTAGCAGCATCAGGAACTACATGGGAAGCTATTGATATAATGTCAAATCTTGGATTTTTAGCATGTGGCAAGACAATTGCAGATTTTCAAAAAAAAATTCAAACCATACACTTAAAATTGAAAATCACTTTTCAGAAAAGGTAAGCTTTGATTTTTAATAAAAAAAGTTTTAGAAATATAATAATTAAATTTTTTTTTTTAATATTAGAGGAATTGCTTACACATTTACAATGTAGATGATTAGTTGATTACTATGCCATTCATGAAAAAAGAAGGCCAAATATAGTATCAATATTAGTGGCAAAACATTTCACTACTTGTCACAAAACCCGTTGTAAAATGTTCTGCAGTACCACTTACATTTGATAGTATATTTATTTACAATCCAAATAATATTGAAGCTCCAAGGATTTGTTGGTATTTACTCAACAATTATACTGGGATATTTGATGTTTTATATACAAATTTTCAAGAACATCAAGGTATTAATACTTTTGATCGTATTGAACTTTTAACAGTTTATATTTATGATAATGCTATTGCAAAATGAAAAGAAGAGAGATCAATGAACAGGTTACAATTAATTGGTCTTAAAAAACAGAATTTGCATTCAATGCAGGATTATTTAAAAGCATTACAAATAATTTTAGCTATAAATAAAAAAACAAAGCATTTAAAAAACCAAGTTGCACCAATTGTTGCAGATTGGCCTGGATAACTGTTTATTAGAAAAGCATTAACACATTTGCATATATTAGGATTACAATTTGCTATTCTACAAGAAATTAAATCATTTATATCAATGTTAGGACCACTTCATCTTTCTCTTAATAGTAGAGAACATGTTATGATAATTTATTATTTTTTTTTGAACAAATGTTTCATTTGTATTTGGTGAACATAAAAAATTAGCCAAAAAACCTAAACCATGGCAAATTAACCTTCTCCTAGAACTTACACGAAGTGATTGGCTTAGAATTAAAAATAAAATTATGCAAAAATTTGATTCAACATGCAAGGATGTTGAATATCGAATAGCAATTGATTTATTGGATAATTTAATTCCCCCTATACTTGATGTTTATGCAATTTTATTTAGATCTGGTTCATTTGAAAAATATGTTGAAACTGTATTTCACATCTGGTCATCTGGACCTTTGCATTATGATGGAAAAGAAAAAATTACAATAAAGCTCCTCTTGTATTCTTATCAGATCTATTCTATTGGCAAGATACCCATCATCCATTTGCTGATGCGATTGAAAAATACCTATCATGTTTTAATGATTATTATGTTGAAAATGCTCATAGTTGAATAAGAGCAAATACATCATCAAATGCAACTGTCAAAAACATTAAAAAACAGACCTATGTTATTGGTAAATACCAATATGTAATAATTGTAAAATTCAAAATTAACATATTTTGTTTTAATAATAAATAGCGGATCACGATCCAATATTTAAAGATACATATTGTAAAACTCGTCATTATCCATACAGCTCATCTAAACTCAATTTTCTATCAGATAAAACAAGTCTTTTTCTGTTAAAATACTTTCATAATATATTTTGCAATCAAAACAATAGTATTCCAGTATACAGCAATGGATGCGCCATTTACCAACAGCATACAGCACATCACATCCACCACAACTAGGATTATGTGACTATTGTAAACTTCAAATGAATGATGATAGTGTAGTACTTGTTTGTGGCCATGGATATCATTCAGCTTGCTATGTGTTTATTGTGAAAATTTTTATAAAAACGGTATCTATGAAAATGTAAATGCATTTTTAAAAAGAATTGAAAAAGGAACAGATATGCTTACACAGGATGATCTAGATGATGAAATTATCGAAGACGAGGAAGAAGGGACGGAGGAGACAGAATGTGAACAGACAGATATATCTGTCGCATTAGCACTAGCAATTAACAATATAAATTACTGGTAATAATGAATAATGTAAAATAAATTAGAAATGTAATAAAATTTTTCCCTCATTAAATAACAATAACAATAACAATAATAAAGATATTGCTCTTTTTTAAATTAACCTTTATACATACAGTTACGACAGTCACATAACCAGTTACATATATATTAACATTATTATATAAATTATATATAATACAATAGGCTAAAATTCGTGTCTAAGGTAGGGATGTTAACGGTTCGGTCCATCCGGTTTTCGGTCCAAAAACTGGTGGTTTGAGTACAAAACCGAACCGTTATAGGTTTAGAACCAGAGTTTGAACCGAAGTTTGGACTGAAGTTTAGACCGAAGTTTAGACCGGATATTTATAGTATTTTATACAAAATTGTGTAATGCAGATCATGAATTTAAATATATCGTATATCGTCAAAAAATTTTTTATTATAAGAAAAAAAATTACCAACAAAATTTCACATAATGTAAAAAAAAAGGAAAAAAAAAAAGACATATTGCAAGTATTGATTCAATTTTCCATTCTTTCTTTTTCTGATATCCAATTTTTCATGCATATAATTGCCCTTGCCGTTTCAGGATCTAACCTATTTCTAGTTTTTGAAATAGTTAATCCCGAAATTGAAAATGCCCTTTCTGATGGAACCGACGTTGCTTGGATTGTTAAATAATCCTTAGCTATTTGAGATAGTACTGGGTAATCCTTTTCATAAGTTTTCCACCAAATTAAAGAACCTGTATTACTATCTACTGGAGAATTTAAGTATCGATCTAATTCATCATGCGATACTTCTTGACGAATATTATTTGGATTAAGTAAATTAAGAAAATAATCACGAGATGATCGTGCTGGTGCTGATGGTATGGTTTGATTATTTAAGGGTAAATATGACAAATATAATTCTTGTAATTTACTAATAATTTCAGTTATATCATTATGACTAAATAATGTGGTTTTGTAGCGTGGATCTAATATTGAAGAAGTAATGGAAGATTGATTCAAATATTTGTCCCAATAGGCTTTCAATTTATTACAAATTGCTGATGCTATTGCCTTTTGTGTATGGTGATTTCCTCTTTGATAATGATCCAATTTTTTAAACATTCCATTAAAAACCAATCTTATATCACCTTGTGTAGGATTTTTTGATGATGATAATAAATTGGTTGCTTCATACATAGGTTCTAATACCTTTGCTAATTCCTGTAAAAAAAAAAATAATAATTAATAAATATATAATTATAAAATAAAATAAATAATAATTTATAAAATAAAAAATACCTTAATATGTCGCCATTCAGATATTGTTGGAAATAAATCTCCAAGTTCTTCAACATTTGTTGTTGCAAGTAATTCTGAAACACCCTGCATTAAGATTTGTCTATTAATCATAAAATATGTGGAATTCCAGCGAATGTCTATATCTAAAATTGGTTTAAGAAATTTAACTTTTTTAAGGGTACAAATTTCTGATAATTTATCCAAAAATAATGGTGAATTCTTGATTTTAACAACAAATTGACGAAGTTTTTTGATTTCATTTCCAACATGACTCATTCCTGCTTTTACTGCTAAATTTATAATATGTGCAGCACATCTGTAATGAGTAAAAGCCATATTATTAAACTCCTGATCTAATTCAGTTGCTAGTTGATTACCACATGCTATCATGTTGCTTCCATTGTCTGTAGTTAATGCAAGAATATTATTACTGATACTAAACTCTTCAAGAATTTGTAAAAGCTTGCTAGTAATTAACCCAGCTGTATGAGAACCATTTACAGGAATTAAATCAAGTAAAAGATTTTTTAATTCCCAATTGTTGTTAATATAATGCATTGTTACTCCAAGATAACAATCTTTTGAGATTTCTGAAGTCCAAATATCAGTAGTAAGAGAGATTTTTGAGTTAATTTGTGAGACTTCATTAATTAACACATTTTTTCTCATTTTATAATTTTCTATGAATTTTTCCTTTAAGGTTTGTCTGCAAGGTAAAATATAGTGGGGATTCAATTTATTAATTAATAATTTGAATTCAGGATTTTCAACAATGGTAAAAGGTTGCAAATCAGTTGCAACAAAATCAACCAAAGAATCTGTGATAGGTTTAGATTTTGATGGAGAGTAAGGTTTAAAACGTAAAGTAGTTTGGCGGGTTTCAGGTTTTTTATAATGTGATGGATGTTTTTTAGTTAAATGACGTCGAAGTGTAGATGTTGGATTACCAGGTGAATAAAGTTTTGCACACAAAATACACTTATAGTTTGTAATTAACCAACTTTCCTCATCTTGAATTTTTTGAAAAAACTCCCAAACATCTGCTGACAATTTCTTATTTATAATTCTTTCATCATCAGATGCTAAGGAATCATCTGATAAATTATTATCGTCATTTTCAAAAACTCCCGACATAGTTGTAATAATGCAAGGTGATATAAAAAAATGTAAGAATGTAAAATCCGTTATTCTTTTATTGTAAAAAGTTACGCGTGCAGATACACGTAACCGTTAATTGAACCGATCTAAAACCGGTTCACTAAACCGGTTTCTATCAGTTCGGTCTCGGTTTGGTTTGACGTTTGAACTGAACTGAAACCGGTCCTATGATCAAACTGCGGTTCGAACCATCCAATCATAAACTGTTAACATCCCTAGTAATATGACCATCGTAAATCATATATATATATTATTGTAAATAGTTTGTGTAACAATAGACATCATAGGACTTCCATCATGCTTGATAGAATTATTTTTCGATAATTATTTTTCGATAACAAAAATCAAAAATTTATTACCATCACACACCATCTGCATGTATTACATTTATTCTTTTCGCGTTCGATAAATTATTTTTATTCAACACACAGTCATTATTTTATTCTTACATTTTAAATACATGAGTTAAAAAATAAAAGCTCGCAAATACATACTTTATTAATACTTTATTACATAATGGTTTATACTTTTATTATTGAATATTAATTTTCTTTTTGTAAATATTATTCTTTTTTTTCAATAATTTCATACTGTGCAATTATTACAATATACATGTGATGAATTTTACATTCAAATCCACCAACCAATTATGAATACATATCCACGTAATTATTATTTGATTTAAATGATTGAAAGTAAGGTGTTTCTCCCAAAAGCCTTATTACTCGTCTTATTTTCCAGTCGCATATTTCTTCTTCAGTCATCACATCATATGCATCCTCCATATTTGCGACATCATCTTTAAACTCAAGGTGAACCTTAGATCTATTTAGAAATAATTCTAGCCCATGATTGTCGTCCATAGATTCTTTAGTTTTTTCTTCCTCAATTCTTACTTTACTTACATCGCCTACACGCATATATTGACGGAAGTTAAAGGATTTTCGTGATGCAAGTAGAGAATCATCATATTGACTAAATGCACGCTCAATAATGGGGATTGCAATATTAATATTGACTCGAAACTGCATAATATTTAATTTACCTTCCACATCTTTCAACCAGAAAAAAATCCATTCCTCGTTCAAATTGGTAAGAACTATGAATACAGCTTCGTTTGAGCGAATATTTGCCGTGAGAAGTTGTCCAATGGCTTGAGGAATATCTATATCTTTGATTTGCTTCTTCAATTCGATTCCGGCCTGAATTCCATGGGACAAAGTATGAGCATTTGCATTGCTTTTCTTTGCAATCACCACATCTGTGGTCCCACTTATTTCGAAGGGCATCTCGTCATATTTTACTGACAAAAGCGACTTTTTGGATTTAACGTCATAAAAATCACTTTTATCGGAAATTTTGATGTTTTCCTTTAAGTAAGAAATGTATCCTTCCTTAGTAACAACTTCATCCTCAATGATGTCATCTGCTTGTTGATTTTCAATTTTTTTTCGGTCCCAATCGTATCCCTTTGCGCTACTTTCTGCCAGAACCGTTCTGACATCCTCAATGTCGAGTGCAATTATAGAAAGTTGGAAGAGATCGAGCAGTGTGTCCAAATGCGCTTGCGTCATCTTTGAAAGAGATACAGTAGGTTTTTTTTGTTGGCCTGAAACTAAAAAAAAAATAAGAAGCTGGAAAAAAAGATAGGATAGATCCAAGAAATCTATTACCTTTCAACAACTTTAGTGACTTGTTGGTTCGAGTCAGTGAGCGCTTGGGTCATATTTGTGAACATCTCATTCTGTTGTCGATTCGATGCAGTGAGCGCTTGGGTCATATTTGTGAACGTCTCTTTCTGTTGTCGATTCGATTCAGCGAGCGCTTCGATCATACCATTTTGTGCTTTGGTTACATTGTCGAGAAAATTATTCTGTGCTACTGTGAATTTCTCAAACTCCCGTCTCATTACCTCAACTTTACGTTAAAACATATTAGGAGCACAAGTCAATAAAGCATTACGAATGTCATTATAAGCGTATGATCATTATTTTGATATTGGCAACTTTTTCGTATAATCAACATTAACGTAATATTCCATGAAATCTATTATCCACTTACCGGTAGATAGAGGTGACTCAACGATAATATGTAAAACACCTTCAGGAGGTTGCGTTTTAAAAAATGTTCCAACTCTGCTTGGAGGTAGAAACTTTCGACCATTTAGCGTATCCGCGATGTTTACATTAACGTCATCGAGAAGTTCCGATTCGAGGGGGACATTAACAATCCATAGTAAAAGTCTCCTTGTTGCAATTGTATTGAAATCTGGCTCGTTGCATTTTTTAATTAACTCCTTAAGTTCAGTATCTGTCGTCTCATTTTTTGCTGTAATTTGGAAATAACAACTCGGAGGTTCACGGTAAACTAGACAATTAAGTGTGATCCTTGTAAGATGTTTAGGCGTAGTAAACAAAGTAGACGTAGCAAGCGAAGCAGACGTAGCAGACGAAGTAGACTTCTTAGTTGGAATGCTTGTAGAAAACTTAGATTTAGATGGAGTAGGTTTAGACTTTGATTTTTCCATACTATAAACGTGATGTTAAACTACAAAATTCAAAAAATTAATGTTACACGTGTAAAATTGGAGATTTTTCCAATCTTTGAGATTTTTGGAAAATAAAGTCAAAGAATCGAATTATGGCATTATTTTGTTCTAGCTGCTCTAGTTAAAAAAGTTATTTACACGAAATCACACTAAAAAATTATAAAAAATTTTAAGACAAAAAAAAACAAACTTTTAAAATCGAATCACAACATGATATCAAATATTTTTAATCTGACTGAAATTTTTAACTATTTTTAGGGCTCAATCATTAAATAAACAATAAGAATCAAGGTAATTGTTTTTTTATCATCTTTCACGAGCTATTCAGGAAATTATAATAATTATTTTTAGAGTAAATTTATTCATCGCATATCAGAGACCCGGAAATATTCCATTATTATAATAAAAGAATAAAACGGAATTTTTGCTGCATAATGGAATAAAACGGAATTTTAGTGAATTTTGATAATTTTATTCCGACACGTGACAATTAGCCAATCATAAATGCAGATCATCGGAATAAATTTAATGTCTCCGAAAAATTTTTTTAATGTTAAAATGCCACGGTTACTGCTTTTTCACGTGCGCAAGAATTTTCTGAAGAGAGAAAAATATTCATCAAATTTTTGAAGTTATTTTTATGCAGATAATGGAAAACTTATGTGCCGTTTTTGTGATCATAGTATCAACTTTTTGGGATAAAGTTTCATTACAGCTTCCTCTTTTAGAAAAAATTGCGCGAAATTATATTTGGTTACCAATCTCTTCCTGCGCAGTAGAAAGAAGTTTTTCCGCGTATAATAAAATTTTAGATGATAGACAAAATTTAAATCCAGAATCACTTAAATTCCTTACTATTATGTACTTTAATAATCAAAATAGCAATAAATAACTATAATGATTAGTAAAATTTATATCGGAATAAATCGGAATTTTTACTGTTATCGTGATGATTTGATATCGGAATTTTTCCGGGTCTCGGACATCACTTATATAGATCATGTGATCTATTACCATGTGATACTGTCTAGGGGTGTGGGGGTTCAAACTGGTTGGTTACACAATATAATTTCGTATTACCAAACTGTCCCACTACCGTCACCCCTGAATTTTATTATTTTAATATATCCAAGACAACATTCCAAGCCTAAAACTTTTGACACACAACATTTCTAAAAGCCGATGTTCGAGAGTAGATTAGTGTTGGTTATAGTTGCCATCGAAATTATTATTACGGTTACGGCACGTGCCGTAATCACCGTAATTAAAAACCGTAAACTGTAATTGCCGTAATGCCGTAATGCCGTAATTTAACTTGACGCCGTAATGCCGTAGTGTAATATGCCGTAAATAAATAAGACTAAACTTAATTTCAGCCGTTCGTAATGCCCGGTCAACTTTTTTTAGCGTTATATCACGTGACATTACACCAATTTCCAAAAAAGGAAATTTTGTCCCTCAATAAATCAAAGAAATGGGTTACACAAGGTTACATAAGGTTCTAAAAAAGGAGATCTTTTTGCCGATCATTTGGTATTATTCAAGTCACGTGATCATAATTAATTACGGCATTTTATTACAGTTACGGCATTATTTACGACATATACGAAAAAAAAACTCTCTCCCCTTTCCATTTTTTTTAAAAAAAACCGCAGTAATATACTTTTTTTACAAACACTTATAGTTTTTTCTAAGGAGCGAGGACCACTCGGTGGTCTCTACGGAAAGGTCTCCTTTTATTACCCTTGACCTCTGAGAGATATGGATACAGAAGATATACCTGTTCCACTTCAGTCTGTTCATAATGACCAGACTATTTTACCTTTACCTTTTCCCTCAAAAACGTTTAATAATACGTCCAATACTCATGAAAATACTTTCCTTGTCTCTGTGAAAAAATTTCACGTGATGACAAAACGCTGAACCGGTTATAACAAGATTTATGAATTTAGGCGCTCAAAAAGTTTCTTTTTTGAGCTTGCTGATCCTTTCTCAGACACCAATAATCTTCATTTATTTTTACACACTAATGATTATCACATGGATTCTACGCCTATTTGATACACATCCACAAGCTATTTGCCTAACACAAAATATCAAATTAGTAAAATGCTCACACACTTTTTTACTTTACAAAAAGTTTTACCCTGACGTATTCAACAAAAGTATTTTGATTTGATTCGCCGGAAATTATTGGAACAAATTGACTTCATCAAGTCACGTGCTTCTAAAAGAACTTTGAAAAATTCCATTACACGCACTTTCTTCTCATTCTCTTATAAGCGCTATCGCTTCCATTTTGGCATTTACATCCCTTGTGAACACGCTTACTCACCTGGTTCGTTAAACTCTCTCACCCGGTATCATAACCCGAGCCCTTTCATTATGTCTTTAAATAGACGCGCTTGTGGTGCTCATCAATCTGAATTTTCGAGAAAAGAAATCAATCATCACCTGAAACCTAGGCCTGATTGGGACCCAGGATTTACAAATTCAAAATCTTCACACGCAAACTTTTTATACGACCTTTGGCAACATCGATGGAAAAATGAAATTTTTTCCAACCGTCTTGGCATTCAATACAATGTATGTTTTGCAACCAACAGTAGTAATTTTGTGCGTAAGCATCCAGGCGCCTACATTTATAGGAAACACCTTTCAAATTTCAAATTCAACCCTAGCAGTAATGCTGCTACAAAACGTAAACAGGAAACCCGCTTCAAGAGACATTGTGCACGGGTGTTCAAAAATATCAACCCTACATCCCGCATTATGAAAGAGGACAAACTCGCAGCAGGGAGACGTTTTCGCTTCCTGTTCCATGAATCTCAACACATTTATTCACCTGTTCACCATCTGAAATTCAAACGTTTTTCAACAGAGAAATTATTACTCGATCTGGTTGATTATACATTTAACATACCTCACCATTCACTGGACAATCCCAGTATTACGCCTATAATTCGTTCACAACCTTCAACATCATATAGGCCTTCTGGTACCAACACAATCCCCCATTATATGGATGCAGAAGAAATCACGGCTTTCGGCGATTACCTAATGCCACTTGGTAAACCCACCCTCTTTATTACGGTCATAACCCTATAGACCCAACAAAATTGGCTAGTAGTTATTATCTACAATATAACCCCATGAACCTGATTTACCTCCAAGTATCGAAATACGTCGAGCCAACCGTTTAGATGTAAATTCATCTGACGCTAACGCTATGGGTACTACACTCAAACATTATTATCGTCGAGTTATGTCAACTCGACAAATCACGACCTGGACTAAAAAGTACTATAATTAGATGAAACAACCTCCACCACCTCCAATGCCTTCCAAAAAGAAAGAGAAGCACAAGTGGAAGAAATGGATGGAAAAGCATCATGACTATGATGACTTTATGAATAAACCGTACACTCATAAATCCTGTACTCCGGGCAAATACCATACAGATCTCTTTGGACTCCCTTCATACACATCAGACGAGACTAAAGCGGTGGAATACTGCCCTAATAAGAGGGATATTACGACTAATCCTTCCGTTCTGTCTACATCACAAGACAATAAACGACCAAGACCAGTGAATAGTTACTACCCGACTCCCTATTTACTAGTCTTAATTCTAATTAAATTAGTTTCTTTTTCTATATATGTATATTTTTCATGTAATGAGTCTTATAACATTTTTCCTACTTTATACTTTACATTCCACATTTTGGCGTCTAATTTACCCTTACGTCATCATGTATATATGTAAACATATCAAACAATTTAAAATAGTGTGAACCACTCCACTTATGACAGTATTGACAAGTGGCAGCCTTAGAGCTGAAAGCAAAATACGGATTTTATTAATTTTTCTTGTTTTTTTTTCTTGGGATTTTGGTAAGATTGTTTTTTAGTTCTTCCTTTTCATTTGATAGTACTTTCTAGACTCCCGGTTATGCCTGATTGTTCTATTGAATAAGAGGCAAGACGACCCCTTCGGGCTCCTCCCGAGAGGTTGGGTCTATCATTAGCTTAGAATTTATTGTTCTTTTAGATCATGTTTATTCTTATTTAGCGTTCGACCCCAGTCGAGTCTATATTTTAAAAATAAAAAAAAAATAAAAAAAATATTTACGACATATGCCGTAATGCCGTAATGCCATAATTAGGGAATTTCGACAGCACCTATAGTGTTGGTAAGAGTCATATATTGGCAAATTTTCATGGCTATTAGAGCGTTATTGGGTTTCTCAGGTCAAAGTTTTAATATAGCTTATTAGAAAAACTATTATTTCGAAATATGTATTAAAAATTTTTTTAAAAAAAAATTATCATTTATCGCGTATGCGATTTATCACTAGTATCCATTTGTCATGTGATATGTCACGTGATATGAAGTAATGATTATCAAATCTCTTCCCATGCTTTCTTTTTATCCTTAAACTTTTTTATACTTCCCACGAAACTTTTTTATCCTTCTCACGAAACTTTTCTTCCCTCCTTTAGCATTTTAACCGACACAAGTATTTATAAAGTTATTTCATTCATTTTTACTCTTTTTATCTAACTATTCCTTATAAAAACACTGATATTTTTACCCGTAACCTACTACCTTAATTACAACAACACCACTTCTAATATGAATGTAAATGAACGAGCTTATACTGACGCTACTGACAGTACTGGCGATACTGATGAATCATCAAACTTATTAGCAGCTGCAGGTATCTTTGCTATGAAATATGTTGTTTTGAATTCATGTTAGTATTAGAGTTAGGATTAGGGTTAGGGTTAGGGTTAGGGTCTGGTTAGGATTAGGGTTAGGGTCTGGTTAGAGGGTTAGGGTCTGGTTAGGGTTAGGGTTAGGATTAGTTAGGGTTAGGGTTTGGGTTAGAGAGGGTTACAGTTTAGTGTTAAGATTTCGTCATATTTACTAAAATTTTTATTGTTTATTTTGCGATTATATAATAGGTATTGATAGATTACTATTGCTTAATGAAAATAGTGATTCAGCTTTGTTTTCAGGAAAGAAATTTACTTCGTGGGATGAATGTGAAATGTTTTTAAATGAATGGGCAAAACAACAAGGCTTTCATTTAATAAAAGATCGTGTCACTCGTGATGATGGTGTTATTCGTCGAAGAACATTTATCTGCTCTCATGGACGTACTTATGAATCAAATTCATCAAGAAATACTGCTACAAAGAAATTAAATTGTCCCTTTTCCATTAATGTTTCATGTCCAAAAAACAAAAATCCCGAAGGTCTGGTGTCTATAAATAAAATCAATGAAGATCATAATCATCCATTAAATAGGTCAATTATTGAATTTGAGGAATCAAAGAAATTTACTATGGAAATGATTGAAGACATTAAGTTTATGACCATTCACTGCAAGTTTGGTGCTACATCTCAACGAAAGTTTCTTGAAGGGAAATTTCCTTCACACCCTATATTTTCGAAGGATCTTTATGCTACTATTAAAAAGTTTTGCCCAAATAGCAAATCTTTGTCAAATGATGCTGCTCAAATTTCTAATTGGCTTGATAATGAAAAAGAAAAAGATTCTCGATGGGTTGTGATTCGGGGATGGGACGATGATAATACATTAACATATTTATTCTGAATGACTCCAGTTCAAGTAGAAAATTAGGTACGTTATTCTGATTGTGTCATAAATGATACTACTCATAAGACAAACAGATACGGCATGGTCTTATTATTAGTTGTTGGTTTTAATAATGATAGATGTAATGTTTTACTTGCACAAGCTCTTCTACTAGATGAAAATTTCGAATCTCATGTTTGGATGTTTACCCAATTAACGAAATCAACTGGTATGCAGCCAATTGTTATAATAACTAATTCTGATCCAGCTGTTGATGCAGTTATTTGACAAACCCTTCCATCAAGTTATCCTATTCACTGTGCATACAATATTACACAAAATTTACATAAAAATCTCAGAAAATTGCTAGGCAATGATTATCAAGCATTCCTAACAGCATTCTATAGTTGTAGAAATTGTATTGTGGAAAATGTTTTTGAGCAATGGTTCAACAACCTTTTACAAAATTATCCTAATGCTAAAACATATTTGGAATTTATTTATAAAACAAAAATGTATTGGGCTCATTGTTATACTAAATTCAAATTTACAGGAGGAATGATAGCCAGTTCTAGAGTTGAATCTGTAAATGGCTGTTTAAAACGATTATTGCACAATTCCAATATACCATTATGCGATCTTATAGCTGAAATTCAAAGACTACTTGATTTGCAAGACAAGGAAAATGAATATAATTTCTGGCGTTTATCGATTCCTACCATACGACATCAGAAAAATTCAAACTTTTTATTTTCTAAAATCGATCAAATTCTTCAACATTATCTTACTCCTACAATGTTAAAAATGCATCGTAATGAGATGAACTAATCACTATATTATGTAGCAATGCTGGTTGAACGAAATTGTGAACGAAGTAATGGAAGAAGAATTATTAACTAAAAATTCTGATGAAGCATCAGAAATTGATCTTCCACAGGCTACTTTAAAACAAATAATAAGTTATGTTGGTCTAAATAATGTTAAAGAAATTTGGGCTGTCAGTGTTGGTAATTCGTCAAAGATCAAGCATTACATTTTATTATTACAAAATTGGGGATATATTTGTTCTTGTCTTTCAATTGTACAGAGTGGTATTATATGCAGACATTATTTTCAAGTGATGTTAACTACAAAAGAAGCAGTTTTTCATATTAGATTTATTCCAACGCGATGGTATAATGAAGACAGAAATGCTGTACAAGAATCATTTATAACTGCTGATAAGTTTTTATAAGACAATCAACAGATTGAATATAATACCGACGAATTTGTATCAAATTTATGTTTATTTGATCAAAACAATAATGATTATTGTGAGGAAAGATTAACAGTTTTTGAACAAAAAATTGTTTATGGTAAATTACATGGTGTATATAAGAAAGCCTTAAATAAGGCTTTACAAACAACTTCTAAATCGGAACAGCTTATCAGTTTACTACAAGAATTTGCGGATGATAAAAATGATAATGATGAAACGGACTCTGAAGAATTTTATCAATATGATGACACAAGTGACAAGGAGAATTTCGATCCATCAATACCATTATTACAGAATCCAAAGAAACGGCGTGAAAAAGGGAGACCATTGGGTGGGTACGAAAAGGTTTAAGTCATCATATGAAATATCTAGTTCTAAAACAAAAACACAACGTCGATGTAAAAAATGTGGGAAAGTTGGGCATTATCAAAAGAATTGCAAAGAACAATGAATAGATGACTAATTCATTAATATTATTATAATGTATAATTAATGTACTATTTGCTGTAATAATGTGTATAATAATATATTGTTTTTTTTCGCTTTGCTAATAAATAATAATTGTTCGAATATGTAAATATATCAATCACGTGAAATTGTTTATCATGTGATATTTTGGGATGTGGCGATATTTCGCTATGGCGATAAAAAACAAAATCCTTTTTAAAAAACAATGAAAAATATTTTTTTAACAATAAATATCACTTTTATATTAAAATTTTATTAAATACATTCTCTTTTATTAGTGAAAACTGCATACAACTATTTATTGTAAACATTTACTATAGACAATATTTTTTCAGTTTTTTTTTTTAAAAAAAAAGGTTTAAAAGTTATTATAAATTAAAAGTCTATATAAATAACGTTTTCTTGTAAAAAATAAACTTGGTTTACTTGTTTTAGACTTCTAAATATTGATTTATTCATCATAAATACTAAAATAAAACCACCGATGTTGTTTTTTTCTTCTCAGAGAAAGTCCAAACATTATTTAAAGTACTTGGACGTAGGGATGTTAACAGTTTATGATTGGATGGTTCGAACCACAGTTTGATCATAGGACTAGTTTCGGTTCAGTTCAAACGTCAAACCAAATTGAGACCGAACTGATAGAAACCGGTTTAGTGAACCAGTTTTAGATCGGTTCAATTAACGGTTACGTGTATCTGCACGCGTAACTTTTTACAATAAGAATAACAGATTTTACATTTTTACATTTTTTTATATCACCTTGCATTATTACAACTATGTCGGGAGTTTTTGAAAATGACGATAATAATTTATAAGATGATTCCTTAGCATCTGATGATGAAAGAATTATAAATAAAAAATTGTCAGCAGATGTTTGGGAGTTTTTTCAAAAAATTCAAGATGAGGAAAGTTGGTTAATTACAAAATATAAGTGTATTTTGTGTGCAAAACTTTATTCACCTGGTAATCCAACATCTACACTTCGACGTCATTTAACTAAAAAACATCCATCACATTATAAAAAACCTGAAAACCGCCAAACTACTTTACGTTTTAAACCTTACTCTCCATCAAAATCTAAACCTATCACAGATTCTTTGGTTGATTTTGTTGCAACTGATTTGCAACCTTTTACCATTGTTGAAAATCCTGAATTCAAATTATTAATTAATAAATTGAATCCCCACTATATTTTACCTTGCAGACAAAACTTAAAGGAAAAATTCATAGAAAATTATAAAATGAGAAAAAATGTGTTAATTAATGAAGTCTCACAAATTAACTCAAAAATCTCTCTTACTACTGATATTTGGACTTCAGAAATCTCAAAAGATTGTTATCTTGGAGTAACAATGCATTATATTAACAACAATTGGGAATTAAAAAATCTCTTACTTGATTTAATTCCTGTAAATGGTTCTCATACAGCTGGGTTAATTACTAGCAAGCTTTTACAAATTCTTAAAGAGTTTAGTATCAGTAATAATATTCTTGCATTAACTACAGACAATGGAAGCAACATGATAGCATGTGGTAATCAACTAGCAACTGAATTAGATCAGGAGTTTAATAATATGGCTTTTACTCATTACAGATGTGCTGCACATATTATAAATTTAGCAGTAAAAGCAGGAATGAGTCATGTTGGAAATGAAATCAAAAAACTTCGTCAATTTGTTGTTAAAATCAAGAATTTACCATTATTTTTGGATAAATTATCAGAAATTTGTATCCTTAAAAAAGTTAAATTTTTTAAACCAATTTTAGATATAGACATTCGCTGGAATTCCACATATTTTATGATTAATAGACAAATCTTAATGCAGGGTGTTTCAGAATTACTTGCAACAACAAATGTTGAAGAACTTGGAGATTTATTTCCAACAATATCTGAATGGCGACATATTAAGGTATTTTTTATTTTATAAATTATTATTTATATTATTTTATAATTATATATTTATTAATTATTATTTTTTTTTTTACAGGAATTAGCAAAGGTATTAGAACCTATGTATGAAGCAACCAATTTATTATCATCATCAAAAAATCCTACACAAGGTGATATAAGATTGGTTTTTAATGGAATGTTTAAAAAATTGGATCATTATCAAAGAGGAAATCACCATACACAAAAGGCAATAGCATCAGCAATTTGTAATAAATTGAAAGCCTATTGGGACAAATATTTGAATCAATCTTCCATTACTTCTTCAATATTAGATCCACGCTACAAAACCACATTATTTAGTCATAATGATATAACTGAAATTATTAGTAAATTACAAGAATTATATTTGTCATATTTACCCTTAAATAATCAAACCATACCATCAGTACCAGCACGATCATCTCGTGATTATTTTCTTAATTTACTTAATCCAAATAATATTCGTCAAGAAGTATCGCATGATGAATTAGATCGATACTTAAATTATCCAGTAGATAGTAATACAGGTTCTTTAATTTGGTGGAAAACTTATGAAAAAAATTACCCAATACTATCTCAAATAGCTAAGGATTATTTAACAATCCAAGCAACGTCGGTTCCATTAGAAAGGGCATTTTCAATTTCGGGATTAACTATTTCAAAAACTAGAAATAGGTTAGATCCTGAAACGGCAAGGGCAATTATATGCATGAAAAATTGGATATCAGAAAAAGAAAGAATGGAAAATTGAATCAATACTTGCAATATGTCTTTTTTTTTTTCCTTTTTTTTTACATTATGTGAAATTTTGTTGGTAATTTTTTTTCTTATAATAAAAAATTTTTTGATGATATACGATATATTTAAATTCATGATCTGCATTACACAATTTTGTATAAAATACTATAAATATCCGGTCTAAATTTTGGTCTAAACTTCAGTCCAAACTTCGGTTCAAACTCTGGTTCTAAACCTATAACGGTTCGGTTTTGTACTCAAACCACCAGTTTTTGGACCGAAAACCAGATGGACTGAACCGTTAACATCCCCACTTGGACGCGACAAAACCTGTCTCTTATACACATCTAGACCAGATGGACTGAACCGTTAACATCCCCACTTGGACGCGACAAAACAGATGTAAAGATGATCACATTTCAAGGATGACATAATTGGGTGGTTGGTTTTTTTAATTGCAGGGGTATTTTGTTCACCGATCATCGTAATTTACTAATAACGTATATGAATTTATATGGAGGACAGTTTTTAATTTATTAGACTTGTTGTATATTATATTGTGTAACCAACTAGTTGGACCACACCCCCTAGATACCGTACAATACTTTAAGGGTATAGGTTATTATCTTGTACCTTTTGTTCGCGCGAAAAAAATGTAAATATTTTAATTTCATATTAAAAAAAAAAACAATATTTCTAATATTTTTAATATTTTTAATATTACATTACATTTCAAATTAAAATAAAATGTTTAATATGTATTTGATGTATTTTATTCATTCATAAATATTCAAGTTTATTAACAACAAAATTTAGTATTCAGTAGACCTACTGAACAATTTTATGTATTGACAAAAGCCAGTTTAGTTCGGTATGTAGAAAACATGTTATGTATACAACCCTTTGTATGTCACGTACGGTGATCTTTTTCTTTGTACGTATGAGCATAGCGAACATACTTATATCACCTTGCCGATCATTTGCCGATCATATTATATGTGATATCACACTAATTTTGAGACTTTATTCCAGGCCATAAATATTCTAAAAAATTATTTTAAATTGTTTTTTTAATAGTATAATATATCAATAATTTAGTATAAAAATTTTGTAGCAAAATAAAATGTGGCGCCAAAGTTAGCTTTAGGCTGAAATTTTCAATATTTGATATATATGCTGATCATTTTCTAATCGGACTTTGGAGCTTCGGGCGAAGCCACAGATGTTCGGGCGAAATTTGAAACTTTTACAATATATTAATTAGGTATTCAAGAATTAATGGCTAAAATAACCAAGAATAATTTTTAATAACCAAGAAGTTATTATTAAATAAAGACTTGCAATTGTTATAAGGTTAATAAAAAAATGCTTAAAATTTAAAAGTTTCTACTAGTAAAAGTTATCCAATAGTAATGCGATCCAAATAAAATTTTATATACAGTAATTTCAAACCAATATTAAACTGTATGCAAAATTTGAGTATATATTATTATGTAGAATTTTTTAATCAAAGTTAATTAACTTAATTATTGCGAAGTGATAAAATTGATTAAATGATCGACAAATGATCTACAGATGATCAGCAAAATTGTGATAAAATCGGGATGTTCGCTATGCTGTACGTATGGTCGTATCACTAAGGTGATTTGATTTAAAGATCATCCGCTATGAAAAAAATGGTCTAGCTTCAGTAATAAATTTTAAAGTTTTCATGGAGAAAAAAAAAAAATTTCAACTTTGTAAAAATGTCGACGGCAGGACAGGTAATTTTTCTTATAATAACAATAAAATTATTTACTACTTGTTTAAATTAATTTATTTATAAAATTAGGTTATTAAGTGTAAAGCAGCAGTAGCTTGGGGTCCAGGTCAACCGTTAAGTAAGAATCAAAAAAAAAAAAAAAATTTTTTTTTTAAATTTTGCTCTAAGTTTGTTGATAATCTTTTGTTATTTTCTTTATTGCGATAAATTGATCAAATAGTCATTGAAGAAATAGAAGTTGCACCACCAAAGGTATGTTAACTTCTCATAGCGCAGTAATTATCATTAATTGAGATTCTAATATTGCAGAAAGGAGAAGTTCGCGTCAAGATATTGGCGACTGGAGTGTAAATATTTATTATTAATAAAGGAAATTTGTTAATGGAAATAATCTTATGTAATAAGTTTTATTAATTCGTGTTATTGCTACATCTAGTTGCCATACGGACGCGTATACATTATCTGGCAAAGGTATATTAAATGATATATCACGTAAATCTTTAGTTTTCTCTTCTAATTTTTTTTTTATAGATCCTGAAGGGGAATGGTGGCCAATAGTTTTTGGACATGAAGGAGGTGGTATTGTAGAATCAGTTGGCGAAGGAGTGACATCAGTTCAACCGGGAGATCATGTAATTCCATTATATATCCCTGAATGTGGTCAATGTAAATTTTGCAAAAGTGGAAAAACTAACTTGTGTTCCATAGTTAGATCAACTCAGGTAATTTTACAAAATTTGTCTTATATGGAGCTATTTTTGGAGTACAGTCAGAACTCGATATACCGATATTCGATATACCGATACATTATTAAAAACTTGATATACCGATAAAATTTTACATTCCCACTATATGTGAGGACATATAAATATCGGTATAATTTGATATAACGATATTTTTTAAATTTTTTCTTATGAGTCCCGACATATCGTTATATAAAGGTTTGACTGTAATGTTAATATTGACCGCGATTTTATTGTAGGGAAGAGGATTGATGCCGGATGAAACTACAAGATTTACTTGTAAAGGACAAAAGTTATATCATTACATGGGTTGTTCTACATTCAGTCAATATACAGGTAAAAAGTAATTTTGTAGTAAACTTATTCGATTTAAAAGTTAATTAAATCACTAATAAAAAATCGTCTGTATGTATAAAGTTTTGTCAGAAATATCAGTTGCAAAGATTAATCCTAAAGCACCACTCGATAAAGTTTGTTTACTCGGATGTGGTATAACGACAGGTTACGGAGCAGCCACAAAAACTGCTAATGTTCAGCCTGGATCTACAGTAGCAGTATTTGGTTGTGGTGGTGTTGGTTTATCTGTAATTCAAGGCGCTGCAGCACGCAAAGCAAGGTAATATATTGTGTAAACTTACTTTGATTATGAAGTTATATTAATTTTATATGGAAACTTTTTAGTCAAATTATTGCCGTAGATAAAAATCCAAAGAAATTTGAATATGGTAATATTTTTCATGATGAATTCGGTGATTTAATAATATGCTAATTGTTTGTTTTTTTTTGGTTATTTTCTAAATAATATTAGCCAAGAAACTTGGAGCAACTGATTTTGTCAATCCTGATGACTATGATAAGCCAATTCAACAAGTAAGAAATTTTGAAATTACATAATTCCAGGCAAAGAAATTCAAATCTGAATGTTCTCCATACTATAATATGAATAGGTTCTGATTGAAATGACAGATGGAGGACTTGATTACACATTTGAGTGTATAGGAAATACAAAATTAATGAGAGCAGCACTTGAATCATGCCATAAAGGATGGGGAGAATCAATTATTATTGGAGTTGCCGGTGCAGGTGAAGAAATTAGTACTCGCCCATTCCAACTTGTTACTGGTAGAGTATGGAAAGGAAGTGCATTTGGTGGTGTAAAAGGGAGAAGTGAATTACCAAGTTTAGTTGAAAATTATCTTGAAAAGAAGTTTGAAATTGATATGTTTGCTACTCATCAATTTAAGTTGGGAGACATTAATAAAGCTTTTGAAATTATGCATGATGGTGATTGGTTTGTATTTTTTTTTTTACAATATTATTAATTAATTTAAATATTTATTAAAGTTGATTTTTTTTTAATAGTATTCGTGCAGTTATTAGTTTTGAATAATTCATGTAATAAGGAAATAGCTTTTGAATAAAAATACTTTTTGACTCATATTATATTTTATTATTTACATCAATTGCGATACATTCTCAATATACTACAAAAGCTTCATTTTTTTAACGAAGATTCGAGTTCAATTCCATTCTTAAGTTGACGGCTTTTTTGAACTTGTTCACCAATTACTACCTTTAACTCATCATGAAAAGCTTTTAGTTACCTATTAATAGAATATAAGTTCAATATAAATATTAACTTTTTAATGAGAGTTCAGTAGATTTTCTATTTGTTTCACCTTAAAGATGAATAAACCAGAGAATTGGAACGCCCGAGGCGTTTCATAAAGCATTACGCATTAGCAATTTTAATCATTTTTATTTTACACAATAAAAAAATTTTCTTTACATTATAATGTAAAGACACTGCCAATATTCATAGATATTATTAATAATATGATATCTTTTTTTTTCAATAATTCTTCACTTATATGAAATTCGTACTTCAAGCTCGTCAACTTTTCATTTAAGTGACCTCTGTTGATTTTCAATTCAATCTATTGTTTTGTTGCGATAAAAATATAGTAATAAAATAATTAGTAAAATTACACATAATAAAATAACTATATATTAAGAGGACACCAGACATTACATATACAACTCAGAGGGTAACTTTTTTGCAAATTGACCTAAATTTCACAAAAAATAAAATCAGTTTTTTGCGATTATCTCGGCATCCAGTGGTCCAATTTGTGCGAACTTTTTTTTGTTATGTAGCTCTCATCGAGCTCTACAAATAAAAAAAAATCGCATAAATTGGATCATTGGATGCCGAGATAATCACAAAAAAACAGAAAATAAAAAAAGAGCAAATTAGGTCTTTTTTGGCAAAAAGTCAGTTGTGAGTTCTATAAGAAATGTCTGGGGTCCTGTATTAAGTCTAACTTTTCAATTCTGTTTAAGTGTTGTATATATATATTAAATTTGAGTAGTTCATGAATTAACCATCTGAAATTTGTTGAATTAGTGGCTTCATCTGATTTATTGACTTGAGTGAGATGGTTCTTCCAGTTACCACCACCTCTTTCTTCTCTGTTTCTTGCTAAAAATTAATATTAATATTATAAGAAATTATTTTGGACAATTTAAATTTGATCAATAAATAAATTTTACCTCTTATATCATGTTGTTTTTATGTGGTAGCAATTCCATATCTTGAGATACGATACTAATATATTGCTTATATTGACGAGTTTCAGTCCTTTGAGTTTTGTTCAATTTGTTTTCTACCTCCAAAGATAGCTTGTTAGTGACCAGATGTAAATAATAATGAAATTTTTTTTTAAAAAATAAATTCAAACCTATATACATTTTCATTTTAATTAAATCTATGATGTCATCAAAAACTTTAACAACAATGAGATTTACAAAGTTTTCCTAGTAAGAAAGCTCACTTTGATCTGAATCCAATAGTAGATTAGTGGATACACCAAAAAAAAATAAACTAAAAAATAAATAATATGAACTTTAAATTAAGTATTACAAGTGAAAATAACCACTAATCATGAATATTTATATTCATAAATAATAATCATTTATAAATATCTTGTATCTATAAGAGATTATGATGTTTTCTATAAATAAAAGATCCAATATATAGTTTCTCAAAAATGTTCTTAATAGCATTATTCAGGGAAATTATATCAAAAACAAATTTATTTTCTAAATGAGTTTAGTACTTTTGGATAAAAGGAAAAGAGTTAGTACTTTTTTCCATTTATCTAAGCAAATTGTCTTTACTTTTTCTGATAGTTCTAACTGAAAGGCAAGTAATATTATTAAGTTTTCAATATAAAATGTAAGTTTAAAAGCAAATAATACCGAAATCTAAATATCTTTTAAGATGCACTTTTTAGATTTTGATAATAGGAATGTTAAATTACTTTAACAAAGCACACTAAACAGAGTTTAAACACAAGCTTTTTCAAACTTTTTAATATGTGCTTCAAAATGTAATTGTAGATAAACATGTGATCAGAAGAATAATTAGCCGAAGGATAAATATTTAGCGGAAGGATAAATAATAAACTGAACAGAATAAGAATAAATATTTAACTAAAGGATAAATAATTAACTGAAGGAAAAACAATTGGAAGGATAGAATGATTCATATGACATAATATTTGTTATACAATATTTATTTATAGTATATTTATTTATTTATAATTTAGTTATTTATAGTTAATTATATTTAAAATAGTATAGTCACTCAAAGATAGAAATAGTGGAAGGAACAAAGGAAAAATTGAAAGATGAATAGAAATATTTTCTTATTTTTCTTATTTGTATTTTCTTTGTGAAATATAAATTGTTATAAATACAAGTGGAATTCAATAGGAATTTTGCAGCTTAGTCAGAACCCGAATAATACTGATATAACTTACCATACCATTCCGAAATTAAACAACCATTTTTTGAACTTAATTCTGGCCAACGTAATCATAATTTTGGTCAAAATCGCCATAATGCAGGCCAGGGTTGCTTATTTTCGGGGGTTGTTTAATTTCGGAATGGTACGGTACAAATAAACAGATTTGCATAGAGTTTGTATAAAATTACTTTTTAAACCTATAAATTGAGTTTGCATAGATCGGTCAATTTTGAGATAATTCATATATCACGTTTGCATAGAGTTTATAAATAGTATTGATATTAATAAATAAAAATTAAGTTGTGTAATACCATTAAGAATGGGTCTGTAATATATTTCTGAAATTTGCAATATTGCAGATTTTAGTAATAATTAATTATATAAAGTAACAAAAAGTAATACATTTCGCATTATTTTAATATTTTTTAATAGAAAAAAATGCGAAATACACTACTTTAGCAAAAAATGGTGAATTTTGCATCATTTTATTAACATTTTAATAGAAAAAAGTGTGAACTGCACAATTTTAATAAATAAATAGTGAGTTTTGCATCATTTAATTAATATTTTAATAGAAAAAAATGCAAAATACGCCATTTTTACAAATAAATGGTGAGTTTCACACTATTTTATTAATACTTTAATAGAAAAAAATGCGAAACACACCATTTTTACAAATAAATAGTGAGTTTTGCACTATTTTATTAATACTTTAATATAAGGATAGGTCCGCAAATGATTTTCAAATTCCGCAATTTGTGGATTTTGGAGTTGAATTGCGGTTAATAGCCCGCAATTCTGCAATTCAGTTTTGGCATTTTTTTACACACAAAAAATACCAGAACTAATAGTTTTTTTTAATAAAAACGCTGGAACTATGGGTTCCTGCGTTTTCTTTTAATTTATTTATATAAAAATGCCAGAACTATAAGTTCTGACGTTTTCTTTTAATTTATTTTATATAAAAACACTGGAACTATAGGTTCTAACGTTTTCTTTTAATTTATTTTATATAAAAACACTAGAACTATAGATTCTGGCATTTTCTTTTAAATTTTTTTTATGTAAAAATGCCAGAACTATGGGTTCCAGCGTTTTCTTTTAATTTTTTTTATGTAAAAATGCTGGAACTATGGGTTCCAGCATTTTCTTTTAAATTATTTATATAAAAACGCCAGAACTATAGATTCTGACGTTTTCTTTTAATTTATTTTATATAAAAATGCTGAAACTATGAGTTTCGGCATTTTCTTTTAAATTTTTTTTATGTAAAAATACCAGAACTATAGATTCCGGTATTTTCTTTTATTTTTTTTTATGTAAAAACGCTAAAATTATAGGTTCCAGCGTTTTCTTTTAAATTTTTTTATATAAAAATGCCAAAACTATAGATTCTGGTATTTTCTTTTAATTTTTTTATGTAAAAACGCTGGAACTATAAGTTCCAGCATTTTCTTTTAATTTTTTTTAATAAAAACGCTGGAACTATGGGTTCCATCATTTTCTTTTAATTTTTTTTTAATAAAAATGCCAGAACTAAGGTTCCATCATTTTCTTTTAATTTTATTATGTAAAAACGCCAGAACTATAGGTTCCGGTATTTTCTTTTAATTTTTTTTTATGTAAAACGCTAGAACTAAAGTTCTGGCATTTTCTTTTAATTTTTTTTTATGTAAAAACGCCAGAATTATAGGTTCTAGCGTTTTCTTTTAAATTTTTTTTAATTAAAACGCTGGAACTATAGGTTCCGGCGTTTTCTTTTAATTTTTTTTTTATGTAAAATATTTTTTTTTATTATTAATAATAAATAGAAATATGTTTTTTTTAGTAGTAATTATATTTTATTAAAAAAAAATAGTTTTTTTTGCGGACATTCTGCAAATCTGCAAATATCGCAAAATACCGCAAATATTCCACAATTGAATTGCGGTACTTGTGATATTTGCAGATTTGTGGAATATTTGTGAATTTGCGGATAATTACAGATTTGCAGATTTGCAGATTTTTAAATTAAAAAATCTGCAATATTAATTATTAATAAATAACATATAAATAAATAATGTACATAATTTCTAATAAAAATATTATACATACAGTAAATAAAGAAAATAAATCAATATCAGAATTTAATAAATCATTTAAGCCATTTAAGAAAATCTAGTCTAACAGCTATGTTTAACTCATAATTAAGCTTCTTGTTTTTTTAAAATTGCTTAGTTTGTTTAAACTCGCTTTAGACTCAAAGCTGTATTAAGCTGAACTCAAACTGGATTGTTAAGCAAATTAACATCCCTATTTGATAACTTATTAATGGGATTTATAATATTTCATTTTGAGAGATTAATAATCCAATAGTTGAATAGACAATATTTTATACCTTTTATTTTTTTTGATTATTTATGGATTTTATCTGATACAATCTGTGAATTCTATAAAGATAGAACATGGTTAAAAAATCTGTTAAAAATACATTGTAATATTAAAGTAGTGCAAATTACTTTTTGAGATAATTGTAAATATGTATTTTCAATATTAATTTCGTAATTTTGCATTTGTTCTATTATTTGTGAGAAACTTCTTTGTAATCAAAATTTAAATAAGTATAGTCACTGCTTCATTGCTAAATTTAAGAGGATATAAAAGTACCTGATGAGGTACTACATAAAAAGATTTAATGTGAAGGAGTACGTAGTTGTTAATTTCGTTCATTTTGAAGGGAGCAATCACATACAGGAAAATAATGATCAATTCTTGTCATTTTTAAGATATTAACCTAAAAATAGTTCATCAGAAACAAGTCACAACTAATAGTTAACTTTAAATAAGTATCTGTACCTCTTTATGAATTACTTTTAAATGTGAGTTTTTTCATATTTCTGAATTTAACTCATCAACAAGTTTAAAATTTTGTTGCTGATTAGAGTCTATTTGTGATTTACATTTAATAATAATCTTTAAGAATAACAGATGAGGTAAGGTAAAGATGTATTT